CCAAAGTGTTTCCTTACAATTCACCGACCCCTAATTATGGGAAATTGGTAATTCGAGGCTGAGGATGAAGCTCTGGTCATTTCGGCGCCTCTTGCTTCCGTGGCTTCTTCTACCTTTGCCTTTGGGATAGCATGGGTAGCTCGCGTGCATGTCTTTCTCTTTCTCTCTCATTCTCTCTCTCTCTCTCTCTCTCTCTCTCTCTCTCTCTCTCTCTCTCTCTCTCTCTCTCTCTCTCTCTCTCTCTCTCTCCTCTCCTTCCTCCTCCTCCTCCCTCCTCCACCTCCTTTCCTCCTCCACCTCCCTTTCCTCCTCCTCCTCCTTCTCAGAGAGAGAAAGAGAGAGAGAGAGAGAGAGAGAGAGAGAGAGAGAGAGAGAGAGAGAGAGAGAGAGAGAGAGAGAGAGAGAGAGAGAGAGAGAGAGAGAGAGAGAGAGAGCAGGTGACTGAAAAATAAAAAGACCCATTTATGCATCAGTTAAAGGGTGGTAATGGTTTGCCATAGAAAAAGACAAAAGGGGCCATATCATTAATTCATAAAAATATATGAATAATTCCAAAAGACAAGTGGCCTTTTGAATAATATAAAGCACAAATTAGATCTGGAATGGGCTGCAGGCCGATTAAACGGTCCTGCTCTTTTTAAAATATTCATTCCAAGATGCATATACAACGGAAGAAAATGGCTCACAATTCTCAATGTTCCTTTTACACCGATACTTATTTAGAGATACACAAATTGTGGAGGAACGCAGGTACTTAAGAAATACATGACAAATTACAAGAGGCTTTTGGAAGTGTGTGGCCATTCAAAACAAAGTGGATGAATTCCAAAAAAGAATATATAAAATACTTGAAAATATGAAAGGCTTTCCTTATTTATCTGTACACACATAGAATGTATAAGCCTTTTTATATAATTTCTGAAACCCCTGACTGATACGTTTGCCCTTTCGGCGCATATTATTGGAACCTGCTGAAACCTTTTTCGTTTGTGTCAAAGTGTATGCATCTACCTTGATACACTACAGTACACCCTGGACAGCCAATCAGGGCACTATAGTTTTTATATACATTTCACATAGCCACAAATAAAGATTCATATTTCCATTAATTGCGAATCGCATCGTTTCTTTATACAAAACATAAAATTGCATAGAATATTTCTATACTTTTTTTAGCAGCACAACAAATACTTCGCTCGATATGGGTAAAATTTAATGTCAATCATGGCAGTCGCTGAAACATGGTAAGAATTTCCAACGTGGCTGAATCATTTAACGTGGTATTGACCTCGGTGGGATGAATGTCTTCAAGATCATTCTGTGCATATATGGTATAACCTTTCAAGTTCAAAAATATCAGAGAAAAGGCAGTGTAATTGTTGATATAATTTCATCAATAACATGTCGGACACGGAGCTCACTCGCGGTGGATATGATTGAGGAAATAATGTCAGAATATTATAGACATCAGTTTTAAAACAAGAACAAAGCTAGACATTGCAACAATTCATACTTTTGACAACTGTGCCTGAGCAATGCTTGCCATCTACAGTGTAATGAGTGAAGACTTTTTATATTTGGGAAGTAAAACTATGGTATGTATATAATTATGTTTAGAATACAAACGTCAACAATAGAACATACGAAAGCCACAAACTGATTTATATTTGATATGAAAATAGGAATACAATAGGCCTTTTTTCCGGTGCCAAGAAACTGTCTAATACACTACAGTGTCGTTTTTTTCATTTGCGACACTTCTCTGGGCCGATCGCGACAGCAACGTGCCGATGCTTCTACGCTGTTGCCACAGGTGCGGCTCCACCCCCATTCCTAGGAATTGTACTCGAGTTGACGAATCTGATTTTGGTTTACTGTTGTAACATTAGGAAATAACAATAAATACAAGTTGTTAGTTATCAACATCTTCAAATTACAAATCAAACGACGGAAAACTATCGAAATCAGTTGAAAATGCGCGGTCCCTAAGCGCCTCCCATCATACTTCTTCATTCGTCCATCGATAATGGTTTCAGTCACACTTCTTTAAATATTTTGAAAATGACACTATTCATTGATTGATATCAACTACATTCAAAAGGATATAAAAGTTTACGTGTGCATATTCAATTATACATACATAATAAGTAAAATGATTATGTAAAACCTAATATAGATTTTCATAATATTCTTTTAACCATTCGAACACATTATGTAAATAAAACATGAGATACTTCCCCGTCTATTATTCGTCACGGAACACTCTTCGAGGCCTGAATATTGCCCAAGATTAAAGCATAAATGATATAAGAAAAGCAGGAACAAGCCTTGCATAACATATCGCATAAAAATGTACACATACAAAAGATAAACCTGAACCTCGATCTTCTTAGCCGTAGCCCTATTAATACGAAAGCATATAAACCTTAAACTCTATATTGTTATATATGGTAGTAGTGTATATTTTTGATATTTTATTTCTGCATATATATATATATATATATATATATAATATATATATATATATATATATATATATATATATATATATATATATATATATATACATACATATATATATATATATATATATATATATATATATATATATATATATAATATATATATATATATATATATATATATATATGTATATATATGTATCACACACACACACACACACACACACACATATATATATATATATATATATATATATATATATATATATATATATATATATATATATATATATATATGCACGTGTGTATACATATGTGTTTAAGTATATATGTGTGTGTGTGTGTGTGTACTGTATATATAGGTATGCATGTATGTACATATTTCTGTATGTATATATATAATATATATACATATAAGCACACATACACGCGCGCGCGCGAGTAAATACTTTTAGACTAGTACCTAGTGCAATGGTTAATGGTTAAGATAAATGTGCTAGACATCTAAGGTCATATAGCACTATAGGAAAGTATAGTAAAGAGGGATGTCAGGTGACAGTTGTAATGTGTCAACTATCTAGAATATTGTTGAGAGGTTGAGGATGAGGGAAAAGATTATGGTGGTTTAGGTAAGGGAGTTAGATCAAGTGAAGGATATTTATGTGTCTGAGGAAGGAGAACAGGTTGTCGAGGCAGAAACTGTGAGATTCTGTAAGGATGTCTGATATGTTGGGAGGTCGGTGAAGGGAGGATAGGTGTGGAAAAGCAGAGGTACGTGCTGTATTAAAACGTGGACAGGACAAGAGAATGTGTGGGACTGAAATAGGGATGTTACATAGAGGACATAGGGGCGGGTCTGAGCGTGACATCAGATAGGCATGTGTTAGGCGAGTGTGGCCAATACGTAATCGTGCGAGGGCAGTCTCCCAACGTCTGTTCTTGTGAAATGGAGCTGACCAAGAGGAGATTGATGGTTTTACGGTATGTAATTTATTGTTGTGGAGTCTTGACCAAAAAGATTGCCATCGGGTATACAAGAAAGTCTTAAAGTGGGGGTAGTAATCTGTAGCTGGAATATGTGAGAAGCGTTGTTGAGGTGATGAGGACATTGCGGCATATCGTGCAAGAGTATCTGCCTGTTCATTGCCAGGGATTCCAACATGGCTGGGTACCCAGCAAAATCTGACAGATTTTGTGACGTGTGGATAGATAGAACAACCAGTTCTGGATCTTACAGACAAGGGGATTGGTCGAGTGCATTGACTTTATGAGGGTTAAAGAATTACGGGAGTCAGTAAAAATAGTAAAAGAGGAAGAGGTGGATGAATATATGCGTCTTAAGGCAAAAAGGAGTGCATATAGTTCTGTAGTAAGGACACTAGATTCAGGAGGGAGGGTGTATTTGAAAGTGCAATTTGGGAATGTTACTGCGAATCCAGCTCCTGAGATGGATTTGGAACCGTCAGTGTAAACATGAATGCTGGAGGAATGAATGGAGACATGGTCAAGGAAATGAGCGAGAAAGGATAGAGGGGGGAATATCTGATTTTGGTGGGTCAGGGAAAACTGAGGAGCAAATACAGGGGTTAGGTATAAGCCATGGAGGAATGGAATGGACAGACAGTGGGAGAGGTCGGAGATGAGGGAAGGGGGAATGGGAGAGGAGGGTATCCATGCGTACGGGGAGAGGAGTTGGTAAACGTGGAGAAGAGGTAAAGGTATGAAGTAAGGATTGTGGAATAGTTAGTTTGGTAAGGGAAATTGGTGAAATCGAGCATAGCATCGGAGAGAGAGAAGGGCTCGACGTCGAGAGAGGGACGGCATGCCTGATTCAGTATATAGGCTCTCAACTGGAGAGGAGCGGAAGGCGCCTAGGGCTAAGCGGAGACCGCTGTGGTGGACTGTATCAAGGTGAGCAAGAAGAGAGGTTGAGGCAGAGGAGTAGATATGGCATCCATAATCTAGAGTGGAGAGAATCAAAGTAACATGAAGATGGAGGAGAGTTTTGCGATCTGAGCCCCAGGAGATATGTGAAAGCGTTTGTAAGATTCGGAGGCGACGTTGAGCTTTTTCTTTGATATACAAGATATGGTCTCGCCAGGACAACTTGGAATCAAATATAACGCCTAGGAATTTGCCAGAAGACCGGTATTGGAGTGGAGCATTATATAAGAAGAGTGGGGGTTTGGGGACCGTACGTAAGCGAGAGAAAAGGATGGGGAAAGATTTAGAGGTAGAGAAGCGAAAGCCATGGTTGGTGGCCAAGAAGTTACTGATGTTATTGCAGACTGAAGGAATTGACAGAGATCTGGTATGGATGTGCCAGATGCATAGATGGTTAAGTCATCAACATATAGTGATGCTCTGGCTCCTGGTGGTAGGACTGAGACTATGTCATTTACAGCAAGAAGAAATAAAGTGGTACTAAGCCACTTCCTTGTGGGACTCCTTCGAATTGAGGAAAGGATGATGAAGTGGAAGAGGCAATCTTGACCTGGAAAGTACGTTTAGAAAGGAAGGATTTAATGAAAACACCCA